TTTTTAACCAGTTGCATAAAGAGAATGTAGCACTGCTGTATCGCTGATGATAATTTGGCTCCCTCTACTGAACACTGTGAGGAGATTGCCAATTGTTACCCAATTTCTGTCTGAGATACAGTTGAGCCTGGACTATAATGCACTATTCTACCCGTGCTTATTATTATTTTTACTGTATTGACTTAAATTCATTCATGAAGTTGAAGTGACCTTTTAAACTCTGGCAGGTTGATGACAACAAGAAGCTTGGTGAGTGGGTTGGTCTGTGCAAGATCGACCGCGAGGGTAAACCGCGCAAGGTGGTTGGCTGCAGCTGCGTCGTTGTTAAGGTAATTATGCTGCTTTCTTTCTTTGGCAAGTCTGAATTCTCTTGATTAGCCTTTTGATCTATATAGGAAACCTTAAATGGAAATTCAGTGAGATTCCTCTTAACATAACAGCGAAAGAAACATTATGAGTTAGGACTATATTTGCCAGTCAAGTGCAGTTGCTGTGCCTCATGCCATGCAGCTGTTTAACTCCTGGCTAGAGAGGAGCCAGCGTACAAGCCCCGTCATCTGCCTGTGGTGTCCGGGGTCCCTAAGGATGGCTACATAGAGTACCAAATGACAGTAGGCAAAAAAGGTGCTATAAAGGCAATCCATGCAATTCCTCTTCCCGGTAATGATCTCAATACAATACAACATTATTTGTCTAGCACATTTAAAACCAGAGGTAGCCGAAGTGCTTCACATCTTCCAATAAAACAGTAGTAAAGTACAAAAGCAGATAGCAGAGAAGCTAGCAGGTGGAAGGCATTGATTAACCAAGTATACTAGTACGCAGATAAGCAAGCAAGACTTAACGATAAAAACAATAAAACAATATAGGCAAAGAAAGGGAAGGGCAAGAAAGTACACTTAAAAGGCATGCTCTAGGAGGCCAGGAAGGCTAAGCTAAAAAGGTGGGTTTTCAATCGAGACTTGAAGGTCTGGTTTGAATCAGACGTGCGAATAGTATAAGGGTTATTCCAGAGGTTAGGTGCAACTGAAGCGAAGGAACGGTCACCTCTGGTTTTCAGCTGTGACCTAGGTTGCACCAAGAGCAATTGGTCAGAAGATCTCAGTGTTCTGCTGGGAGTATACACACTAAGGAGATCAATAGGGTAGCTGGGTTCAATGTTATTTATGATTTTTATAACTAAGCAGTGTTTAATTGGAGGCCAGTGAGAATTGGGGTGATAGACTCAAGCCTACGAGTACCAGTTAGAAGGCGAGCCGCGGTGTCATCACTAGTGTAGTTATAAAATCAGGGTATCTTGAGTTGGTATATTTAACTAAATCTAAGCAGCATACCTATACCACAGCTGCAGTAAACATGTGTGCCTGAACTAAACGAAATTCAGAGGTGAGTTGTTGACACACTGTAACAAGCTGATCACCTCCACACTGCATTGAGCCATAATTTATGACAAAGACTGAAACAAGTAGTGTTTAAATAAAGCTGGACATGTGTTAATTGTAGCTCGTTATGTTTCCCTTGCGTAATAAACTTGTATTTATTTCCAAATGGCTGTTTAATCTTTGTAGGCATACATGTCTGTGACGTTGGGCTCAGTTGACCTTAATTTTATTTATTTATCCCCCCCTACAGGATTATGGCAAGGAGTCCCAGGCCAAGGATGTGATTAAGGAATACTTCAAGTCCAAGAAAAGAAGTGTCAATAAAACGATGAAATGAAGCTCTGGAGTGTGTTATTGATTTGAGTTGCTTGGTTGGATATTGAGCATTATTTCACTGTGTACCAATCTTGTTGCTTGGTTAGTGCATCATTTCATGAGCTCTTTCTCCAAATTGAGAATTTCAGATTTTTTTTTATTTTTTTAATTTTGAAAAAGCTCTTTGCCCTCTGGATAACATTGTTACTGCTTAGCCAGAAAACGTTGATGGTCAAGCAGCATGGATCCCAAATTTGTGAGTATGAACAAGTGAAACTTGAACCGTGCAATGCACAGTTTTGAAATTCACACCATTGGAGCATCTAGTAAAAGTTCAAATCCTGGTGACCTTAACTTGACCCCAAGTTGAGTCCACTTACTATGGTTTAGGCTCCATGGAGTGTTGCTGTCTGTTAGCTGGTTTGATGAAAAGCTAAAAAGCCAGTCAGATAATGAATGTTGTTGAAGCTTTCAAAACATCTTTAAAAACGTATAAATTGTTTTTCAGGTAATACTGAATGCCTCCCAATGTATTACATTGGACAGAGCTTTGAAATGTTAAAATGCAAACATCAAATGAAAGCACTTAAATGGAACATTATCCAAGAAAGAATATAAAGGAATAGCTTTTACCTAATTGGAGAGAATTGAAATAGTTGAGATTAATACCATTGAAGTAATTGGTTTTCTAGATTGTTCTATTTGCTATAGTACTAGTGTCAAAAAATGACATGAAAACCACCAAGTCTAATAACCGCTTATGTATTATTATTATTTTTACATAAAATGATGCATGTGAAATCCTTTTGCATGAGAAGCTTACCATTTACCTTGTGCAGCTTGGTAGGTTTGCATACGTTTCCTCAGGTTACAATCGAGTACATCAAAAAGCCAGACTATCACGAGTGTGTTGCATAAGTCTTTTATCAAGTATGACTTGAAATATTTCAATCCTTTTATTTTGGGATTAATTATAATGGGTTATAACTCAAGGAAATCATACATCAAGCCTGATAATTAGAATATTTCCTAAGATCATTAATTTATAATACAGAAATGCCCAGCTTCATTTAAATGGAACTCAATGGAGTCTCCTTTGCCTCAAATTACTGCATCAGTTTGTGGCCTTGCTGAGTTGATAATCAAAGTCCAGTTTGCTTTGACAGCAACCTTCAGATTGTCTGTATTTTGGTGTCGGATTATTTTTCCATCTTCCCTTTGACTTTAGCAACTCTACAGAGAACACGTGTTCATGTTAGATTCAGTTGGGGAGCCATTAGGTTTGGTACTACAAGCAGGAGCCAGGTTTTGCTGGAAAAAGGAAATTGGCATCTCAATAAAGATTGTAAGCAAATGGATGCATGAAGTGCTTTAAAATCTCCTGGTAAATGGTTGTATTGACTTTGGACTTGATAAAACATAATGGACCGACTACAATCAACACTAGTATTTGACATGAAAATCCAAATCATCAGACTGAAAAAACTTCATTGGGTGAATCTGCAGTCTTCCTCCAGACTCAGGGACCTTAATTTTCAAACAAAAATCCCAAATTTACTTTAATCTGAAAAGATGACTTGAGACCACAGAGCAGCAGTCCACTTCTTTTCCTCCTCAGCTCAAGTAAGATGCTCCTCGCATTTCTGGTTCAGCAGTGGTTTGACATGAGGAATGTGACATTTGTAGCCTCTTTCCATCTGGTGGCACCAGCCTCGGTCCACTCCTTGTGATGCTCGCCCAAGTTGTTGACAATGCCCTCAAGGCAGCGGGCATCCCCATTGCTTGTGCACCTTTTCCTACGACAACTTTCCTTTCCAGTCAGTTTTCCATGAATATGCGTTGATACAGCACTGTGAACAACCAGCCTTTCAACAGTGACTTTCTGTGGCTTACCCTTCTTATGGAAGGTGTTAATGATCATAACCCGGAGAACTGTCAAGTCAGCAGTTTTCCTTAAGGTTGTGGGTACTTGAGCAGACCAAAAGAAAGAGTGTTTATACTGCTTGAAATCAAGTATTCTGATGGTTTTTATGAGCTATAAATAAACCGTAATCAAATTAAAATAAAGGCCTAGAATTCTTCAATGTACATAAAATGGATATTGAATATGGGACAGTTATTATTCTGAATTTAGACAAAAAAAAATCAAAATATTCTATTGTTTGTCATCTCTCTCAGTACATCAGCAGAATAGGAAATGGTACCTGTGTGGTGTGTGTGTTTGTTTTTTTGGGTTTTCATGTTTTTTTTTAAGCAAAAACCATGAAAATAACCTTAAGAGGAGTTAGGTATGCAATATAAGGTTCAAAGGCAATCTGTTCAGGTAGAGCACAATAGGGATATTAAACTCTAGCTTTAGGCTCAGTGTGCTCACTAACAGATTGCTCTCCCTTCTTATTATAGCCCTGTCATTTTGTGACTTTAGTTTCAGAGTATCACAGGTTGTGCTAAGGATCTTGTTTCTTTTATGAAAGAAGATGCATAGGTCATGTGGATAAGTTTTCTCCTTTATATCTACATACATAGACATTTCTGAATAAAGAAAAGACATTCAAACACATTAAGGCACAACACATCATGACGCACATCTTCAAGCCCCACCCACCAGAAAGAAAACAAAATACAAAAACCAGAAGGAAAAAACAAAAGAGCCTCAAAATTTCCAATTATTTGACGAAAAAGAAAAAGAAAAACAACCCCAAAACCCTACCACTGTCATGTAAGTTTATTGTAAATAATTTACACAAATTTCTACCACAGACTGCATTCTTTTGTCGTGATTATTATACCACCGGGAACAAAACCCTTACAAAAAAAGCTGTTATCCCAGTATACATGATATGGTCTGTACAGAGAAGCCTTCAAATTAATGCATAGCCAATGATCTTCCCCCCCAAGTGATGCCACAAGTCCTCATTTCCACCTGGGTGCTCTGACCACAAACTAGATCTCAAGGGGAAAAAAACATCCTCCCAGTCCAAGGAAGGTCTTAAGCCTTGACAGTTTTAGCCTGCTACAGCTGCAAGAACAGCAGACTGGATTTTCAGAGGTCTGTCCCCAGCATCAGGACCAGGGGGGCTGAGCAAGGATGTGTCGGATAGCCTTTTCCTAATCCCACTTTCCTCTTCTTTACCTCCTTTAACCTCTTAAGACCATTACGAGTTTGTAAATCCAGACATTCAAAACAAGACAGGAAACGAAAGTAATCACAGAAACACTTGCAGTGTCGTGTGTTCTTAAATAGTTATACAAAAGAAAGGGGCTGCCTGGCTGACCGTGTCCATGTGACAATGCAATGAGTCCATATTGCTATAATAGTTACAGGTACTCAAACTCCAGTGCTTGGTGTAATGCCAGCAGGTCAGAGTGACTTGATATCCTCCAGAAAGGCATGTTGTGCTGCGGAGTGGACACACATCATTAAAATCAGACGTACAATTATCACTGTTGCACACCACCACCGCCTAACCACATGCAAGCTACACTACTGTAGCTTGTAGCTGCACTGCAAACAAAAATCCATGCATTTCTAAGGCTTTAAGACAAAGGGGGGCATTTTGGGAATTATGCTTATCCTTCTGTTCAGAAGGTTACATCAGATGACACAATTTATATCACTCATCTCTCCCCTCTTGGTGAAGCTACAGCCAGCGGTTCGTCAGTTTAGCTTAGCATAAAATTTTTTAAAAATAGGTATCTTAGCCTTAAAAAAAAGCACAAAAATCTACAAAGGGCAATTCTCAATATCACCAACTTAATTGTAACATACATGTATAAGCAATAATATGTACAAATAACTTTAAAAAAATGTATGAAGGATAACAAGATTTGTGCTGACTGATGCTAGCCTCTACTTTGACTGATGCTAGCCTCTACTTTGAAACACTCATATAACCCATAGAAAATCCATGCAGCTGTTGTTTTTGACTTTTGTTTTCATTATAATTAAATCAACACAATATAACTAAATTGGTGAGCTGTAAAGACTATGAATTTTTTACTTTTTAAAACACCAGTTTCCCTAATGTTTCCAGCCTTTATGCTAAGCTAATTTAACTTTTTGCTGACTGTAGCTTGAAGTCAATAGTTTCCTAAAAAGGTTTAACAGTGGTGCCAAAATTGTATGTGGGAAGTTTTTACACTCTGTTCTACATTTTATTATGTTTTAGACTAATGTTGAAATTAATTCAGTTTTTTTCTAAACAGTCTACACATAATACTCCACAATAACAAAACAACAGAGTTTTCAGAGTCCTGTGATACTGTACTAAAATTAGAGACAGAAATATTGTCTTCATGCGTAACCCCAAAAACTGTTGGGTCACTCTGTAAAATGTGAATAAAAACAGAATGCAATGATTTGCAAATCTCATAAACCCATATTTTAATAAAGATATTAAACTGAGAAAATATACCAAGAAAAGCCTAAAAGTGGTTCTAAAACAAATATCTAGATGAAGAGTTTGCTACTTATCAAGTTAACTTGAGGCAGGCCATTAAGATGATTGGGTATGAAAAGAGCATCAGGTTGAATTCAGTTTTATTTATAAAGCACCAAATCACAGCAACAGTTGCCTCAATGTGCTTTTTATTGTAAGGTCTTTACCTTACAATATTTAATATGTGCATTGAAGGAGACATCCTGGTCAAAAAAAGACTCCAAGACTCATCCCAGTGTTACTGGAGGCCAAGGTAAAGCCTTCCAGAGTAAGCATCTGGTTAGACACTGTATCTTTAAGATTTTTAGTACAATAACCTCAGCTTTGGAAGTGGAAAACTGTTCTGCAGTCAGATGAATCAAAATTTTGGTAAAATGGACTAAAGAGTGCTCAGTTTGAAAGCCTGCATTTCTGATGCTGTGACACTGGACTGTGTGAATGGAGCAACATTCCTTTCCCAAAAGTCCAGGAGCTGGTCTCCTCAGTTCCCAGATATTTAGAGACTGTTGTTAAAAGAAAAGGGGATGCTACAGAGGTAAACATGACCCCTGTGTTGTGAATAGACTGATGACCCAGTGTCAGAT